GAAAGCAACAACAAAACGTCACCTGTGGGCTCTGCAGCTCGTTGTTTTCTAGCTTACTTTGCGGGAACACACCGGGATCACGCATCCTATAAAACGAAATAAAGTTGATAAGCGCTCGAGCAACGTTTGCTCGTCGCGGCAGAACGAACATGCCTAACCTTTCGTCTGCTTTCTTTCTGCGCTTTTACGTCGCTCACCTTCTCGTTCCTTCTGTCGGGAACGCCGATGTCAACGCACGGGATTTGCTGCGTTCTGCTGCCGTCTTTGCACTCCCGTGTACGCAGACGAAATACCGGTTCCGGAAAGTAAAGCAGATGACAGGTCGTTTGCGTGGAAATGCCGCAGCAGCGACACGCCAAGAAATACTTCGCCCGGAATCCGTCAAGCGACGACAACGCCCACTGATCTCTATTGTAGTAGGCTGGATCGCGGACCGCGGCCTCGGCAGCTGGGGCCGAGGGTCGCCACCGGCGGCCATTGATTGACACCAGCCAATGCATGGGACTCTATGGGAAGAACGAGAAAAAGTAACGTTTTCCTCCCTTTCTAAGCTGTTGGCATTAAAACTGTTTGGATGCTTTTCAATAAGCCCGTCAAATAGCTTGCATACAAACATTAATACTGACAGCCCTCGCAGTTATTATAAACAAATATTTTGTGGTCGAGAGTGACTCCGCTGTAGTGCAGCTCAATGAGGCTTGAGTTACCTAGAGTTACCGCGGAGTCGGTGGCGGTTTCGTTGAGTTGGGTTTAGCAGACGACAAGCTCGAAGGCTCTGCTACGCGGAATTCGCTCACTCTCGGAAAGCCATTGTCGAGATGGAACTTCTTTGTCATTCATCAACGTCTGGGCTTCCCTGAGGACGCTCTCATTGACGGCAAGTTCCTTTGTTTACTCCACTACGAGAACAAGCTTCCAGCTCAGACGTAGGTGCTCCGGTACGTTTGACTTTTTTTATTCGGCGACCGAACGTTTGACAAATACCGATTCGATCTCCAAACACCCGACATAAGGATCGCAGCGCACCATAAAATACTCGCCTCTGAGCACAGCGTACATGCTTCAATATGCTCACATGTGTGCGTTTCTCCCATAGGCTTGCGTGTATTTATTTATTTATTTATTTATTTAAATACCTTAAGAACCCTGGAGTTAGGGTATTACATAAGGGAGTGGGGTTATAGGAGATGTGATGATAACAATTCGCGGAATGAGCTGATGTCTTGGGTGGAGACGATGATTTCAGGCAGGCCGTTCCAGTCCACAGATGTCGCCGGGAAAAAAAGATTTAAAGAATGCTGTGTTTCGGGTAAAGAGAAGGCCAACTTTTGCAGGGTGATCAACACGAGGAGATATGCGATGAGGTGGCAAGATGAATGAGCTATGTAGCTGGTCATCGTAGTAAAACCTGTGAAAAAGACATAGTTTAGCAATACGCCTGCGTGAACATAAAGGAGTCAAAGATAAGTTTTGTTTAAGTTCAGTTACGCTGACAAACCTGGAGTACTGAGACGTTATAAAGCGAGCTGCACGGTTCTGAAGTGATTCTATGTCCGATGTAAGGAATTTAAGATGAGGGTCCCAGACTGATGATGCATATTCTAACTTTGGGCGTACTAATGTGACGTATGCGAGGCGTTTGACAGATGAGGACGCGAGACGAAGATTGCGGCGTAAAAAACCAAGAGTGCGGTTTGAATCGGAAATGATGTTGTTAATATGAGTCTTCCAGGAGAGGTCGTGAGTGAAGTGAACGCCAAGATATTTGTAAGTTGAGACGGCATCAACATTGAGGTTACCAATAGAGTAAAAAGCTTGAAGGTGTTGACGGGTTCGAAAAAAAGAGAGGGATTTAGATTTGGAAGCATTTAAGAGCATTTGCCACTTTGAACACCATTCATTAATTCAGTCAAGATCAGTCTGCAGATTAAGTGAATCATTTGTGTTAGCTATGGGCCTGTAGATTACGCAGTCATCGGCAAACAGGCGGACCGTAGAGGACAACGAAAGGGGGAGATCATTAATATATACAAGAAAAAGCAGGGGTCCAAGAACAGATCCTTGCGGTATGCCAGAGGTTACAGGAGCGCTTCGGGAACGGCAGTTGTTGATGTGCACATGCTGGGTTCGGTAAGAGAGAAAATTTTCAATCCATGCTAGAACGGAAGAATCAAGGGAAAGTGCGGACAGTTTTGTTAGTAGGAGTTTATGGGAAACACGATCAAAAGCTTTGGAAAAATCAAGAAAGATAGCATCAACCTGAGGAGAGGTTTCTAGGGAAATATGAATGTCATGGCTGAAAGCGGCAAGCTGTGTTTCACAAGAACGATGTTTTCTAAAGCCATGTTGATTAGGAAAAAAGAAATTGTTTTGTTCCAGAAAATGTATAACTTGGGATTGAATGACATGTTCCATGAGTTTACAACAAACAGAAGTTAATGATATGGGTCGATAATTTAGAGGGGAGTGCGCATCGCCGCCTTTGTGGACCGGAACGACCTTACCTTCCCTCCAGTCGTCAGGAATAGCACCAGTATCTATGGACTGTTGAAACAGAAAGGTTAGAAAAACAGTTGACAGTGGTTTAGTAATCTTTAGTATTTTACTGTTTATGTCGTCAGCCCCTGGTGACGATGAGATCTTAAGTGTATCTATCAACTTGCTAACGCCGTTTTCCGTGAAAGTAATTGGATGCATTCGTGGAAACGACATGGTTACATTATCTGGCAAAGATGTGATGACGCTACTGTTAAACACAGCGGAGAATGCATCGCAAAACTTTTCAACAGCATCATCATCAGAGAGATTAGTTCCGTTGTCATTTACCAATGAAACCGGTTTACAATAGTGGGGGTTTATTATCTTCCAAAATTTCTGAGGGTTACTTTTGAGAATAGCGGCAAGATCGCTCTGATAAAATTGTGTTTTAGCTTTCGCGACAGTCGACTTGTACAGTGCGAAAGCATCTGAGAAACAAGACCAAGCCTGATCTGTGTCTAGACGTCGGGCACGTCGGTACAATCTCTTTTTCCGGTTACAGAGCGTTTTAAGCTGTCGGGTGTACCAAGGGGCTGACTCGTTCTCTCGAAACTGTATTAGTGGTATATGACGGTCAATTAAACAAAGTAACGTTTCTTTAAAAAGCATCCAATTATCTTGTACAGAACGATCAAAAAAGTTGGGCATACATGACTCCATAAAAGACTTTAGGCCGAGGTTGATCAAGTCAGTGTTTGCTTTTCCATATATTCTAATTTTTCGATAGGATTCAACAGCTGCGTTGTTTTTAATGTTCAAAGAGCAGTGTATGCACTTGTGATCGCTGAGGCCATTAATGATGTTTACATCGTTTATTATTTCGCTGTGCGACGTGAGGACTAAGTCTAGAATCGAAGATGATGATTCAGTTACCCTTGTTGGCTGCGTTACGAGTTGCTCTAGATTAAACGTTAGGCACATATCTAAGAAAAGTTTCGATTCATTTCGAGATGCCGTTGCCGACGGCAGATCTTCGCCCCAGTCTATGTCTGGGTAGTTGAAGTCTCCCACCAAAATTAGTTTCGATAAGGGGTGCTGCGTTCTCACGTCGCACAGTGCGTCATGCAGCCTTTCAACAAAAGAAGCGTTGCAAGAAGGTGGGCGATAACAAACCCCAAAAATGACAATGTTGTTTGAACAGTTGATGGAAGCAAATACAATCTCTAGATCAGACACAACGTTCACTTTTCGTGGATGAAGATTGTTTTTACAGCGAGGAGGACACCACCGCCTCTCCCTGAAACCCGATCACTGCGAAATATAACAAAAGAAGATTGGTGACTTGAGTTCAAGAAAATTTCATTATCAGTTATTTCTGACGTGAGCCAGGTCTCACTTAGTGCGATAACACCAACGTTCATAACATCGATTAATTCATTTATGTCGTCACGCTTCGGTAATAGGCTTCTAATATTGGTGTACAAAAAAGACAATGTATTGGCATCGTTCGCATTGGTACATGTTGATGGTGCTGTAATTCCAGTAGCTGGTTGTGTTAAGCTTTTACTAGGTGGTTGCTATCGCGGGCATTCAAAAACAGTATCGTTAGACCGGTCGTACATATAACATCGTCCATTCAATAGAAGCCTGTTGAAGGAAATCTTAAAGGGAGCTGCCTGTGTCTTTCCATATTCGATTAATTTGCTGCGGGCCGTTCGGGTACTTTGCGAGAAGTCTTCTGCTATCGAGACGTTCGTTCCTCGCAACGAAAGCCGGGAGGAGAAAAGCTGCTGCCGTACTTTACCTAATGCAAACTTAACAATTATAGGGCGTTGTTTGTTGGGGTTGTAACGGCCAATGCGGTGAGCCCGGGTAATAAGTAAAAGTTCAAGGTTAATTCCGAGTTTTTCGCTGCACAAAGAAATAACCTTTTCTTCCGATTGAGACCTGGTCTCCTCTGGTGCGTCGCTAATGCCGTGAAATACACGGTTTTCTCGGCGTAAGCGGTCTTCTACGTCATCCAGGCGGAGCTGCACCTGGTCGACGCTAGTTGTTGCTTTAGACACGGTCTCTTTAACACAAGCGAAGTCGTCCCTTAGTGCTTTAACATCGCTTAGATTGCCTTCAATTGCCGAGACCCGCGAGTTTAAGTCAGCTAAGGACTTGGTCGCCGTTTCCTGATCTGCGCGGACACTTCTGATTTCAGAAAGAAGGGATGTGTTCATTGCATCAAGTTTATCAAGAACAGTTTGCAAAGTTAGGTCATCCGGACCAGGGTTTAACTCAACGTCTCCCGAAAGAAGGAGACGGAACGAAACGCAAAAACACTCGTACGCAATAGACAAACAGGCACAGGGGCATGGCAGCACGAACAAAAAAATGTCGTCGCTTCGTTTGCAGAAATACGACACGTTGTTACTCACCTGAAAATACATGGTGATCATTGAGTTGTTGCGCACTGCTGTCGTGCCGCCATGCCCACTGGCGAAAAAGTTGTGTAGCGGCGTATAAATACAGGCCATCTAGCCACCAGGGTGAGCCAGAGTCGATGACGGTGACGAGTGATAGGCATCGATGAAAAGGGGCTGATCCATGGCGTCGGCGTGTCTCGGTGTCATCATACCGGTGTCGAGGAACGTGCCTGGTATCGATGATGACGTGTTCTTCTGCGGTGTATGGCCCACAAAAAAACAAGAACTCGTTCCACGGGCCGAAGTCAGCACGCAGGAAAGCAGGAGCTGAAAATACATGGTGATCATTGAGTTGTTGCGCACTGCTGTCGTGCCGCCATGCCCACTGGCGAAAAAGTTGTGTAGCGGCGTATAAATACAGGCCATCTGGCCACCAGGGTGAGCCAGAGTCGATGACGGTGACGAGTGATAGGCATCGATGAAAAGGGGCTGATCCATGGCGTCGGCGTGTCTCGGTGTCATCATACCGGTGTCGAGGAACGTGCCTGGTATCGATGATGACGTGTTCTTCTGCGGTGTATGGCCCACGAAAAAACAAGAACTCGTTCCACGGGCCGAAGTCAGCACGCAGGAAAGCAGGAGCTGAAAATACATGGTGATCATTGAGTTGCTGCGCACTGCTGTCGTGCCGCCATGCCCACTGGCGAAAAAGTTGTGTAGCGGCGTATAAATACAGGCCATCTGGCCACCAGGGTGAGCCAGAGTCGATGACGGTGACGAGTGATAGGCATCGATGAAAAGGGGCTGATCCATGGCGTCGGCGTGTCTCGGTGTCATCATACCGGTGTCGAGGAACGTGCCTGGTATCGATGATGACGTGTTCTTCTGCGGTGTATGGCCCACGAAAAAACAAGAACTCGTTCCACGGGCCGAAGTCAGCACGCAGGAAAGCAGGAGCTGAAAATACATGGTGATCATTGAGTTGCTGCGCACTGCTGTCGTGCCGCCATGCCCACTGGCGAAAAAGTTGTGTAGCGGCGTATAAATACAGGCCATCTGGCCACCAGGGTGAGCCAGAGTCGATGACAGTGACGAGTGATAGGCATCGATGAAAAGGGGCTGATCCATGGCGTCGGCGTGTCTCGGTGTCATCATACCGGTGTCGAGGAACGTGCCTGGTATCGATGATGACGTGTTCTTCTGCGGTGTATGGCCCACGAAAAAACAAGAACTCGTTCCACGGGCCGAAGTCAGCACGCAGGAAAGCAGGAGCTGAAAATACATGGTGATCATTGAGTTGCTGCGCACTGCTGTCGTGCCGCCATGCCCACTGGCGAAAAAGTTGTGTAGCGGCGTATAAATACAGGCCATCTGGCCACCAGGGTGAGCCAGAGTCGATGACGGTGACGAGTGATAGGCATCGATGAAAAGGGGCTGATCCATGGCGTCGGCGTGTCTCGGTGTCATCATACCGGTGTCGAGGAACGTGCCTGGTATCGATGATGACGTGTTCTTCTGCGGTGTATGGCCCACGAAAAAACAAGAACTCGTTCCACGGGCCGAAGTCAGCACGCAGGAAAGCAGGAGCTGAAAATACATGGTGATCATTGAGTTGCTGCGCACTGCTGTCGTGCCGCCATGCCCAGTGGAGAAAAAGTTGTGTAGCGGCGTATAAATACAGGCCATCTGGCCACCAGGGTGAGCCAGAGTCGATGACGGTGACGAGTGATAGGCATCGATGAAAAGGGGCTGATCCATGGCGTCGGCGTGTCTCGCTGTCATCATACCGGTGTCGAGGAACGTGCCTGGTATCGATGATGACGTGTTCTTCTGCGGTGTATGGCCCACGAAAAAACAAGAACTCGTTCCACGGGCCGAAGTCAGCACGCAGGAAAGCAGGAGCTGAAAATACATGGTGATCATTGAGTTGCTGCGCACTGCTGTCATGCCGCCATGCCCACTGGCGAAAAAGTTGTGTAGCGGCGTATAAATACAGGCCATCTGGCCACCAGGGTGAGCCAGAGTCGATGACGGTGACGAGTGATAGGCATCGATGAAAAGGGGCTGATCCATGGCGTCGGCGTGTCTCGGTGTCATCATACCGGTGTCGAGGAACGTGCCTGGTATCGATGATGACGTGTTCTTCTGCGGTGTATGGCCCACGAAAAAACAAGAACTCGTTCCACGGGCCGAAGTCAGCACGCAGGAAAGCAGGAGCTGAAAATACATGGTGATCATTGAGTTGCTGCGCACTGCTGTCGTGCCGCCATGCCCAGTGGCGAAAAAGTTGTGTAGCGGCGTATAAATACAGGCCATCTGGCTACCAGGGTGAGCCAGAGTCGATGACGGTGACGAGTGATAGGCATCGATGAAAAGGGGCTGATCCATGGCGTCGGCGTGTCTCGGTGTCATCATACCGGTGTCGAGGAACGTGCCTGGTATCGATGATGACGTGTTCTTCTGCGGTGTATGGCCCACGAAAAAACGAGAACTCGTCCCACGGGCCGAAGTCAGCACGCAGGAAAGCAGGAGCTGAAAATACATGGTGATCATTGAGTTGTTGCGCACTGCTGTCGTGCCGCCACGCCCACTCCTGGTGTCAAGCAATGGCCACCGGTGGCGACACCGACGGGCTCCCGATCCGCGATCCAGCCTACTAAAATGGAGATCAGTGACAACGCCGCCCGAAAGTACGAGTAAAATCCATCGAAAACCAGAAAATGTGACGTCCATAGTCAGAGTAAAAAAAATTAAGAAAAATGCGTTTTCCAATCTTCCGGGGTGTGTTACGGAAAAAAACAACCCTTACATGCAGTTTTAATTTCGTTCTTCATTCTTATGTTTCTATAAACGCCACATGTGAGAATATAATTCGTGTCTGGCCAGAAATAACCAGATGGCTGTCAGTCGAACGGTTAGAGATGTGAGTAAAGACCAAGAGCTTTGCTTCTTGTCTACCCACTACTTGTTTAAACCATGCAAACAGCTCAGCGTTCTAACGTCCCCGCGCGCACTCTTGACTCCTCCTCTCCCTCACTTCATCGGCACATAGACCATGCACACTATTTAGAAGCTGTGCATGGGCGCCGCAATAACTGAACTGCAGTGCTTTTTTTTTTCTGATTATGTTTACTCCACTTCATCGCTAACGGTTAATTCTCCTATAAAAATATTTTGACTTTTTTTTTTATTGAAAACGTGTTAACTTCTCGTTGACTCGGACTACATTCTTTAACTTTGACTTCCTGTTGTCCTGGTCAACAAAACGTGTGTTGATTTTCTGTTGAAATTCTTCTGATAATTTTCTACAGACTGAGTCAAAAGAAAAGCCTTTGACTGTCTATTAACTACGTTGATTCTTTTCTGCTGACTTTCTGTTGACAGTGTCATCAGAAAGACTGCAGACGTTCTGTTTACTTCACGTTAAACAATGTCCAGTTGACTCTCTGTAGTCAGTGGCAATATGAAAGCTACAGACTTTCTGCTGACTTTTTATTTGAACATAGTACGTCTTGACTATATTTCGAAAATCACCAAGTTCCCCTTTAGTCTTGGACAAGGTGAGGACGGTAAAAAGCAGCTTCAGTTGCCCCTCCTCAAGCGCGAGCGTCCTCGAGAATGCTTCGTCGTCTCGCGCACGTCGAGAGCGTGCGCGCAGTCAAAGCACGGCGGAAGGCATTGAGCGTGTGTTGGAGGCCAGGCGCTCGAAAGACACGCCCTGCCGTTCTCACTTTGTACGTGAATGTAGGGACTTTATTGACCCCATTAAACTAGTCAGCTACTAAGGAAAAGCAAAATAATGGTTTCACAGTGGAGCGATTGCCTTCACTTGCCTCGTTACGACTGGTGCTATGCAGAGAAGCGATAAGATTTATTCCTGGAGCCGTTTTTCTGGATGTTGTTTTAGCGACTGCGCAGAATTATAATTAGATGTACCAATGCTTTTTTGTAACGGATAGAGACCACCAACGTTGAAACACTGTTTTCTCTTTGATAGACTCTTCAAAAGGAGATCGGATACTTGCAGTCTTGTACACGTTACTAATAAAAAAGTAATCGATTACAATTACTATTACTCTTGGCTAAAAAGTATTCGATTAGATTACTTGATTACTCGACGGCAAAAGTAATTGGACATTACTTAAAGAGGTAATCGTTACTTTTCCGATTACTTTATTGTGTGAAGACACATCTTTAGCGCTCATAACAATGAACTACTTCCAACCTATATTTCACATTTGCACAAATATTGAAAAACAAAAACTGGCTCCCTCTTCGTGGTCGTTGCACCTTCACAATGCGGACAAAACGCATAGAATTCGTTTGAAGAAGTTAAATGATTTGGGCGTTTGCCAGTGTGTGAGTGTCTGTGTGTGTGTGTGTGTGGGGGGGGGGGGTTGAGCGAAGGGAGTTCTAGATCTTGTTAAGCTTGAGCAAGGGTTGTCGCTCAAAGTTTACGTCGCTCATTTTATTATTCACATGTGGAAGAGCTTGCATGTTATAGACCCTTCCATTTTGCGCTCTCTGGGCGGCACCATTTTGTTCGACCGCAGCGCCCTCTCCACACATCCGGGAAGTTCAGCGGGTTCGGCGGGGTAAAACGAGAGAGAGGGCACGCGCTCGACTCCGCTGTAGTCGGTTACAAGTCAAGAAGGTAGGAGAAGCTCCTCCCACAAGTGTGATGCGCCCGTTTCAAATCTCTCCGCAGTCGAAAGAAGAGTTCACTGGAAACGCTCCTTGTTCCGCTTCAATGGATTCCCGCTTGTCTCCGATCCCACTTTTTGAAAAAGCGACCTTTGTATTCATCGGAGAGGGAACCGAGCCCCTGAAAGCAGCCTTTGTATCAATTGGGGGGGAAGCTAATCCCCGAAAGTCGTATTTGTTTCCGTCGGTGGGGGAGAACTCTAATGTCCCTCTCGTGGCTTCCACAATGCTAAGTCAAAGTCGAAAGATAAAGCAAATATCTAAAGAAAGGCAAGACCCTCCTCGCGCGTTGTCCGCGACGTCACGGAAACGGTGGGACGCTATTGGATGCAAAGGTGGCGGAGGGATATCTGATTCCCTTTGAGGGGCATTTGCCGTTACCTTCTTAACCTGTAACTGACTATAGCAGACGACAAACCGGGAGGTTGCCGTTCTCCATCTTTGGGCTGTATCGACGGGCAGTGCGGAACATCGAACCCTCGCTCGTGGCTGCCGTTGTGAAGTGGTTTGCGTTCTTAGAATAGTTATGGCTACTCCAAAACCAGTCAATAGCTGTCTGTTGTTCTATTTCGCTAAGTAATCAAATAGCATATCCTCTTTCCGTTACTTAAATAGCGGTTGAGCCAGCCGGCAATACTACCCTCAACTACTGCGTGTGTTGCGGCAGGAGAGCACGTTTTATTTATTATTTCAGACTTCCACTCATGGTCGCTAAAGGCCCATACCAGTACGAACTTTGTATAGTAAAAAAGGTACAGCAACCGGATTTACTTTTCGCCAAAGAAACCGACCAATCTGACAGTTTTTTCTATATTTTTTTTATTTGCACGCACTTAACAGCACAGTTGGACCCTGTGAGTCTTTTTATCCAGCATAGTATTACACGACAACTGGCATACTAACGTCTGCGCATCTGCGCTTGAAAGTTCCAAAATGACGCGATTTTAAACAGAGTTTGCACGCCAGCCGGACGCTCGCTACAGCCCACTCGGCGGAGCAGACGAGGTCCGGGGTGAGAGGGGGAGTGCATTTTTGTCTCTTTTACCCTCTCTGCTATGACCCTAATGGAACGGTCTATACAAAAGAGCAGCAGCTCCAGGATTTGAAATGGATCATGTGTAGTACCCATTAGCGGAAGAGATCGCCCCGACCACTTCTCAACCACGACCAACTCTATAAAGGGTGACCAGGTCAGCTCTCCCCTCTCTACGGGAGCGCGTGTACCGGAAAATACCACGTGACCACGGCTGGGGACAGCGA